GATGCTGACATTCAAAGGAAAAGGCAAAGAATTCACAGAATGTTTGAGTAGTCAATGGTTTATCYCTTTTAAATGAAAAATTTTATACTTAAGGCAGCTACCTCCTTCCTCCCATTAATCTTTGTGCCAAATAACTTGAGCTGAATCTTGCTATTCTATAATTTTCTCCAATGAGTTGAGAAAGTTATGAGTCTACTCTAGTAACCTCTGACTTTAGTATACCTACTAAAATTCTAAAATTCCCCAGAATATTCTTCTCAAGTTAGCCAAACCCTTTATTTGAAGTTAAGGTACAGTTATAGTTTTTCTTAATTTTCCCACTTTTGTTCTTCACAGACCCACTACCAAGATATTCTTTAAAAAGTGAATATGAAAGTTATTTCATTCAATAAATAAAGCAGGTTACTTACCTATAATGCTGACTTTCTGACAGATAAAAACCAGATCATCATGACTAATTAGAGTCTAACCATTGGATAAAGAATTCTTGAAAAGTGAGTACCAAGATCTGCTCAATGAGGATTCTCAACCCTGAAATCCAAAAGTCCATGGAGGAAGTCCTCACTGGATGACGTATGTAAATATAGCTCAGACCAGGAATTAGAAGACAGAAGTTTGATCCTATTTCTTCCACTGATTTGATACTTTGCTCATTTTTGTACTACTGGGGATGTCCCAGGCATGCTAGGCAAGTACTCTATCACTGAGCTAAACCCCAGCCCTCAGTGAATATACCATGAATAACCTAAATTAATGCGTTTGGAAATGTGGATTGTATAATGCCACCTATCCTATGTCAAATGAGAAACTATATGAAATTGCTTCAATAATTTACAATATAGATGTAAAATTATATGTGGCAGAATAATTCCTCTAGTGCTCTTTCTCTCTAAGGAAATCTATTCCTAGTGAATTTTCCTGAACCCTTAAAAGAAATTATTTTGACCAAGAGCAAAAGTAGATTCTTAAAAAGCAAGCTTATAAAAATTAGTATGAATTTTCTCTATTCAGGTTCTGAAATTGATGAAAATATCATAGCTCTCAACTAGTAAGTAAGCATGATACAATGGAAGGTCAATTTGTAATTATTTGGTGTTTATAAATGGCTGAAAAATAACATTCTCATCTGGAAACTATCTGAGTAATACACTTAGATAAGCAATAACTATCTTAAGACATTTGGATAAATTTATACAGTGGTACAAATGTAAGCAATCTGTTATCAATGAGTTAACTCTTTGCAAGGTCCTAACAATCTAGATAGAACCCCTATATTTGACTTTTCAATACTCTGAATTATTACAATTAATACCAAAGACCCTTAACTGAAGCTATTCAAGGCCTTTCAAATAAAAATAACATTGTACAATGAGAATTAAGTATCAAATGACCAAATCAAATTTTCATTTGAACACTTATTTTCTAGTGATTACCTTCTAAACTGAAAGAAAAGTTCTGAATATTAAAGCCCAGGACCGAAAATCTTCCATATCTGCACTTCCTAAAGCTAGAACTTCAAAACTCAAGAGATCCATTTCAGGGATTCTGATTCAAAATCAGCAAAAGGTCAATTCCCAAACAGAAAGAGCAACCACAGTTAGGTAAATGATCTCAGTCAAGTGAGCCCTCTAGGCCACAAAAGGAGTCACTAAGCATCATTTAACTTTAACAGAATCTGCCAACCTTGTAGATCAGAGAGCTTTGAGAGAAAACTGTATTTCTTTTGATCATCTACTAAAATGATACACAGCTGAAATCTGCCACAAAAAGATTCTCTCTGGTCTCTTGCCACAGTTCTCCATTTTAATATATAAAAGCATAATATGGGCAAATGTGTTAAAGAGAGATAGCACATTAAAAGGCAACAAGGTTAAGTACCCAGAGTATCTGCAGATTCATTTTCCTGGCCCATACCCTAATTTACCATGTATTGGGTTTAAGATTAGACTCAACACACAGTATCTTTTCAAACATTTACAAGTCACAAAATAACCTTATATGTGATGGCCTTGCAAATGAGATGGATAAATTAAAGGCTAAATGCCAGGATAGATGGCTGCTAGTTAAATGATCACTTAGCTTAGAGGAAAATTTTTTATTTTAGCTGAGTAAAGTAGGGCTTCCTGCCTTTAGGCAAAAAATTATCTTCTATTAACAAGCTATTTTTAAAATGGGCTATCAGGAAGTACTACTCATTCCCTTCTAGTAGAGACAATCATGGTTAGTCTAGACAATGCTTGATTCTCAGTTTCAAAGTACAATTATCTAGAGAACTTTTCTAGCATAAGACTAAGGAAAAAAAGAAATATTTGACAGGGTATGTATTAATGCATGTATATTAAAATAAAATAATCCACTGACCCCAAATGCCTTAAAAAAAAAAAAAACCCTAATGGCTTTTAACATCATAAACTTTTCACACTGCCATAAACTTGAGACTTGAAAGCATGACACAGGTATCACATTGCTATTTAACAAGGATAACTTGGGTAAAAAGAGCTAATATTATATCCAATTATCTCTGGGTTCTAGACAAAAAGCACAGAAATGGGAGTATGCAAAAGAAAGGTACTTTAATGAAAGAAATTACCCTCTTTCAATTTTCCTAAATTCATCTCTAACCAATATGCTAATCATGATGCTATCTCTCCATCTTATTTGTCCCAATTTTCTTCCTTGAAAAAACAAAAGTTAAAAATGAAGTATCATGGGGCTGGGGATGTGGCTCAACTGGTAGCGCGCTCGCCTGGAGTGCGTGCGGCCCGGGTTCGATCCTCAGCACCACATACCAACAAAGATGTTGTGTCTGCCGAGAACTAAAAAATAAATATTAAAAATAAAATTCTCTTCTCTCTCTCTCTCTCTCTCTCCCTCTCTTAAAAAAAAAAAATGAAGTATCATACTGTACCATCTTCAAAAGATTTGAAGCATGGCAAATAGGCAAGATTGAGTGATTGATTTTCCCCCCAAGGTTACCCAATAAAGTATTAATTTGAGAATACTGTCCAAAGTAACCAACATACAAATTCCAAAGGACTCTGCATATTCGAAGGAAGCCATGAAACCATATTGCTCTAATCTAAAGATGAACATGGATGAAGATGGAATATCACCTTTTGATATTATAGACAATATCTTTAGGTAATTGATTTATGGGAACACATTCTTTAGAATCATCATCAGGAAATCTCTTACAAAATACTACAGTGACTATTAATGGAAAAATATTTTCCAAGATCTACTGATGATCTACCAGCCAAGACTTAAGAGAAAGAAACAATGAAAATCAAACAATAAAACAAATAAAGTAACATTTTACGCAATTGGGGATGTAGTTCGGTAGTAGAGCGCTTGCCTAACATGTGCCAGCCCCTGGGTTTGATCCACAGAATAGAGAGGTTTGGGGGTGATGAACTTTAAGATAGGTGTGGTGGTGCACACCTACTTAGAAAGCTGAGGCAAAATGATCACTTGAGCCCACAAGTTTTAAGAGCAGTCTGTGCAACATAGCCAGACCCTGTGAAAAAAAATCATTTTTGGTACTTCCTCAACGTATTTGTTTTGGATCCTTGTATTTGTAGATTAAACACCTCTACTTTTAAAAAATTGATACTATATATGAATAGTAATAACTTAATTCTTGTTTTTAATTTTCATTTATACAATTATGATGTTTTTCTATCTCAAATTGGACTTCAAACATTTCAAATACATGAGATTCCTAACATTTTTTAAAAGTAAATTTATAAAACTCTCAAATAATATGAACTCTTCATTGAATCCAGTATTAAACATTATTTTAAAAGCAAACAAAAATTTTTTTCAAAAAAAGAAACCTACTAGGTAGGTCATCAAATTACCCTATACAAATCTGAATCATCTCTTAGGCATGGCCAAAAATGTATCATGTCCCATAACCAGGATTTGATACTTTGATCTGAACATATGGAGTCTGGCAATTGTCACAACAAAAATACTAGAAAGGGTTCTCAATATCAAAGTATTTTTGCACAGCTAATACAATCTGATTATAAGTTTAAAAGCCTACCATTTAAAAATAAAGGTAATTAACTTATTAAATAAGCTTTTTACTGTTGTTGATCACAGTATTTATGATGAGCATTGTTTGTTATAGTTTCTTAGCTTCTTTTAGGATTATTAAGACAGAATTAACTCCAATTCACTTGTGTTACTTTCCAGAATACTTTAAAGTAATTCTAAGCAAAACTGTAAAAAATTTGGACATAGAATTCTTTATTTAGAAAAGTGCCTTTTTAAGTAAAGACTAAGAAGTGATGATATTTTGAAATAGTCTTCCCTTATATTTACTATTAGGAAAAGTTGAGTCAAACATTTTATGTAAACTAGAGAACAGATACTAACTTTAGCTAATGAGCTAATTATAACATACTATTAACTGTCATGGTATTAACAGTAATATCTAATTTTCTAAGTCACCGAAGTCAAAGATAATGCATAAAGCACAATTTTTAAAACCAAAATTTTAATTGGGATTTAAATGTAAGCAACTAAGATAAAAGATTTCTAGCTTGCCAGATTTCCCATATCTGGATGATGTGTACACACACATTATTTGTTCTATACTATCTAAAGGAATAGATTATTACATAAAATTCTACAACTATAAAACAAATTATATTGTGGTAAGTCAAGATGTTCCCATTTTATAAATTACCCTAAATGGTTTAAAACTTAAGAAAAAATAATAACACTATCATTCATGTTTCCATGTCTTATATATGTGAAATACCAGCAAAACTGTGTTGTCATAGGGAGGAGTAATAAACTTGAGTTTTAAAGTCTTTTTTCAGATTTTTTTTAAAAGTTAAAAATAATCATTATGCTAAACCAAAACTTTTAGTTAAATCATTAATTTTATCTGTAATAAAATGTACTATGAATAGAATATATGAATAAATAGTGAAAACTGGGGGAATAATAAACAAAGCAGAATTCATGGTTACCATATTTACACATACTCTTTGTTGTGTTTCAGTGCCACATGATCTGATTCAAAGTAATAAACATCAGGATCATCATCTTCCTCTTCTGTAATGTGCTGATTGGCACTCTCTTTGGCAGATGGCAAATGTCCAATATTAAGTCTTGTCTCTGAGGGTTGCTTACTTAGTCCTTCACTTCCATAGTTTTGAGAGTCACAACATACAGCTTTTTCATTTTGAGAAATTTCATCAGGATTTGTGGGAGACTCACTTACATTATCACTAACAGGTGCATTTGTTTCATTGGAACTATGATTATTCTCCTCAAATTGTCCATTTTCTCTGCAAGGAGAACAATTTTTAGTGGGACTACCTCTGGTAGGGACCGCCCTTCGTGGTGAAGTTCGCAGGGTATAGCGATGTTCTTGAGGCTCTGATAAAGACATCATCTGAGATGAAACACAATCTAGAACAGAAGATGAATCTAGTTCTCCAGAGACTGGCATACTCTCAAGATTTGTGTCCAGGACGTTACTGGTGTTTTCATTACACTGCTCTTTTGAGGCACTGCTATCTCCCACCACATCTACTTCCTCCTCAGAATCCCTTAAAGATGACTGAATTTCAGAAATGGGGCCTGAAGCTGGCTCAGTAGTCAGCTGATTAACATGTTCCACAGGCAGGCAGGTAGTTAATATTTTGTGGTCCTCCAATTTGACCTGCACTTTTGAATTTGTGCAAGGCACGTTATGGTCTATATAACTGTCCTCCTTCCTACTATCAAGGAACATTGCTGTTTTGGTTTCTGAATCCCCATTTTCAGCTAATGATTTTTCCTGCAACACATAGGAACCAGTGCTATTTTGTTTAGTGTTCCCATCGGGTTGACAGTCATCACAGTTTATAACAGCTGAATCACTGTCATCAACACCATTGACAGCCAAATAGCCTGTGATTTCTTCAACTACTGTAGAATTAAATGGCCCTTCCTCATTGAGATTCACCTTTTTAATTTCCCCTTTCTCACAATCATCCAGTATAAGACATCGACAAGCTCGTTTAGTCCCTTGAAAATCTGCATCATTGTCCACTACTGTACTCCTCTGTTCTACTGACTCCTTGTCTGATTTTATAGGTGAATCTTCTTCTGAACTGTTGGGTGCTTCTGATCTAAGACAACGCTTAATTCTTTTTAAAACTGGTGATACAGGTTCTGTTTGCCTTCTCTCACAATTTTCTATGGCCTGCCTTTCTATGTTATCCTTTTCTGAAGAAGAAAGTCCTCTTTTCCTAGGGCTTACCCATGATTCTCGAGTACTTTGCTGTTTTAAATCAGTGGTTCTTCCATTATTGTTTCCTTTCTGAATTTGTACAGGCTCTGGTCTCTTCTTTGGTGATCTTGATCGCACTTGGGAATGAGAAGAGATTTCTTCAGGGTGAGCAATGCTACGATTCCTTAATGTTCTACCACAAAAAGATTCATCCAAGCCGTTTAACCCCACTGTTGATCTTGTAACACGAGTAGATCGGGAAGCAGCCATACTATGGCAAGTCCCTACAATACGGTCATCATGATCCACTCATTGGGAAACCTTCAAAAACGTAAACAAAATAATGAGAAAAAGGTAATAGTTAATATACCTAAAACAAAAGTTTATAAAGCCATAATTTTTTATTGTAAGTATAGCCAACATTAATAAATTATGAGACAAAAGTTCTTTTATTTCCAATAAAGATATTAATTACAGCTAACAATTATATGAAACAATTAATATGTGCCAGGAATCATCTTATTTGTTTAACACACATTAACTCACAAGAACTCGGGTGCTTCTATCACTCCTAATCTACAAATGAGGAGACTGAAGCACCATTTGAGTAATCTGTTCAAAGTCATACAGCTAGTAAGTGGCACAGCAGGGCTCTAGAGACCATGCGTTTAGCCTGCCTCACCATTTATTTCTCTCTCAGACAAGCACCAAATATCTAGAAAAAAAAAAAAATCTATCTTAAAGATGAGATTTCATCTTGGTTACTAAAATAATAATCTTAAATTTATATAACAGCTATCTTGCAAAAACTATTCCAATCATTTCTAAGATTCTCTCAAAACATCCTTAGGAGATAGAAAGGCAGACTGTTCTTTATAATTTGCTCTTACTAACCTACATTTCAGGTCAAATTCCTCCATAAGAATCTATTTGTATCCAAAAAATTTTGGTTGTAGTAGAGGTTTTTTTTGGTAATTAAATAGATGAAAAGAAATCACAATCTTAGTTTGTACTGGCTAACACCAAAATAAAACAAAGTCTTCCTAGTCTCCAGAAGAGAAGCCATAAGTCAGAAAGTGAAAGGAAGTATTCTAAAAGCATAGAAGGAAATGGGAAAGAAGCCTCTGAGCAAATATTTACATTTAAGACATCAGAAGTATACACATAACCCTACCCTTTCCCTCTTTGAACTCCTGTGTATATAGTGTATGTCAGTTTTAACACATGGTTTATGACATGAAACAAGTTTTCTGATGCTTGATATTTCCAAGAGATCAATGTGAGGAATAATGAATAAAAGCCCTGATGATCCATATGGATAAACTCTGAAAGATTTAATGATAGCTTCCAAAGGCTCCCCGATTGAGCACAATAAAGGAACTGTTAACATCTCAAGTCTCCATTACCTACCCTTCATCTTTCATAAGATACTTTGTAACTTAACTGCAGGATGGTTAGAGAAAGAGGCCAATCGTGGCCATAATGCAAAGTTCCAGAGTTTGCTCCTACCTTTTGCCACCCTTCTATAGCCTCCCTCAAGTATAACCTCCAAATGCCCTCCTACCCGTTTCCCTTGGCAAATCAAACACAATCTCTTCTTTGCCTCAACTAGAAGAATCTAACATTGGAAAGGTCAGAATTACAGAAGACACTGCAACATGTACCATATACAAAAAAGAAACTTCAAAAGGATATTGTCTCTCCCTGCTGACACAGGGATGTAAGAAAAAAAGGGTTCTGTATCCCTGTTTCTGGATGCCTTCAAATGAATTTTGAGAAAAGTGGCCTGTTAAACTATGTTATGTTGGCTGAATTTTAGTTTTGTTTTAGAGTATGGCATACTTTCAAATTTTTAATTAACATATTTTAAAAAGCTTACAAGACTCATAAAACTAACCCTGGAACTAAAGCACAGTAATTTGTTCTAGATACTTTTGTAGTAATCAAGTGAACAGTAAGAATGGGGCACATCAACCAGAAATTAGAAAGTTTCTTATAGTAAACTTTTACTGTTTGGAAATTCCTTACAGAGATTTGTGATACACCATAAATTTCTGCTTATAATTACAATAAATTTAAACTTCAAATGATATTTTAAAAGAACATACACTAAAAAATAGTAAACGAAATTTATTTCGCGTACCCAAATCGAAAGCTATGAAAGTTGAAGATTAAATATTAAGTACCCATATACATTTACAAATAAAAACTAACAGTAATTTTTATTGAAAAAACCTAATGCAAATAACTTGAATGTAAACCTGATTATAATTTATGGTTTCAAAACTAATATTGACAATAGTAATATTTTACAAACATACACAAAGAAYGTTAATTTTAAAATGCAAGGCCAATTAAAGGTGCAGAAATCTCTTAAATGACTCCATTAATAGGACTTCCTAATTTCTCCTTTCTTTCCACACCAAACTGAATAGAAACAATATCTCTTCTGCAGTACAACTTCCCAGAAAGAGACTACTTTGTATTTTGGATGAAATAAAACTATTATTATTAGTACTCAAAATTACTTATACAGTGTGTGTTTCTGTGTACCATTACAAAATACCTATAATGAGGGCCTATATTATCTCTTCACCATTTCCATGATGATAATATTGAAACATTCATTACTGTAAAAGATTTACACTTCTTTTTGCGTCTTCGGCTCCCTAAAATTTTTTTATTCCATTCAGTAACTACAATGAAGTCCAAGTTTTAAGATTCTTAAGGTTGGCATTTAAAGAGAACCTATTTAAAACAAGGGTCTTTTGGTAAACTCTTACAACTCCAAATGTAACCTGAACTGAACATGATGGCACACACCTGTAATTCTAGCTACTCAGAAGGCTGAGGCATGAGAACAGTCTGGGCAACTCAAGGAAAAAGAAAAGAAAAAAGAAAAAATTACAAGGACTGAGATGTGCCTCAGTGGTAAAAATGCCCACTGCAAAAATAAATAAATACTGAAAAAATATTCAAATGTAACCTGAAAAGCACCATTAATGGAAACTCTTAGAAACTTACTAAAAATGCAGAATGGGGGCTTAGAAGTATAGTTCGGCAGTAGAATTCTTGTCTAGAATGCTGGAGACCCTGGGTTTGATTCTCAGAAAATGTGGGACTGTGAGGTCTCGCCCCAAAACCTAGCAATGAATCAGATTCCCAGATGATTCATGTATATATTAGAGGATGAGATTACTGAACTCAAGACAGTATTCTAATAATATAATCCATCAAGTTTCAAACCAATTTACTTACTTATAATATACCCCTTAATTCTTTACTGGACACTAATTATTCAAAAACATTTATAAATAAAGCCATGATCTCTCTGGCTACAGAAGCATTAAAGAGAAGTCTGTAAAAATCTTGTAACTTGGGCTGGGATTATGGATCAGTGACAGAGCGCTGGTCTCACATATGTGAGGCACTGGGTTTAATCCTCAACACCATATAAAAATAAATAAACAAAATAAAGATATTGTGTCCATGTATAACTAAAAAAAAAWTTTTTTTAAATCTTGTAACTTCAATTAACACATTACATACACTTAAGGCAATAAATTGTCAAAATTATGAAGAGTAGACTTTAATAAAAATATAACTAATCTTCCCTCTAATGCATTTTTTTTCCTTCTGCTCTATGCATTTTCCTTCATATCTTTTCTCTTTTGGATAAGTATATTTAAAGGTACACATTTTCTGTAATTATCTGATAAACTGAATACAAAATTCAATAAGCAAAAAGGGACCAAAAATGTTTACATTACTCAGTGTTGTTTTCCTCATTTTAGCTGCATAACACAGTTACTGAAGAATCCAGTAAAGAGGACTGAATCATGAATTTATATTCCTGCCAAATATTAAGTGGCTAAGGAGAAGATAGACAATGAAAACCTTAGCCAGTACCCATTTGGAAATAGATATTTAATCACCCTGGTTTTAAAATTAAGGGAAATTATTAAGTTAACATTCATATGGGGAAAACCCAATCTATGAAAATCATGGAAAAAAAATAATCTAATAGACTRAAGATTTTTCAGTTACCCACCAATTAATCAACAGTGGCACTTTCTGGAAGACAGGTAAGAGAATAATCAATCACTAGAATTAAACAGACTCTCTAACCAGTCTTCTCCATCCTATTCAGTTTTCATTCTATCAAAGGGCCTATTTAAGGAGGGCTACTTTATCTATTCTTATTAATCTCCAAATCCTACATCTAATACCACAAAACTCATTTATTTAACACTGAACCACAAACCTGAGCCAATTATGCCCAAATCTGACTGTGATATTCCGAAACATTACCAGCTGTTTAAAATCATAATTTCCAGCCCCTGTGATCATACTTAAACTCATCAGTAAGAATTAAAAGGAATAATAACTTTTAATAAGAAAGGCCAATATAATGAAATACTGCTCCAGCTATTACATTTACTTAAAAGAGAGAAATCTATAAAAGCTATTTCAAAAACACTGGCTGTAACTATTCATTCCTACTACTATTATCACTAAAGTTGTTACCATTTATTTTGGGAATCGAGGAGCTGGTAATCCTGTTAACACCAATGTTCTGATTGTTGTATATATTATTATAATACTTAGTTTTAGTAAGTGAACAATTTTTGATACTGGTATACGTTCATGTATTAAAACCAAAGTAAGAGCTGGGGTTGTAGCTCAGCGGTAGAGCGCTTGCCTAGCATGTGTGAGGTACTGGGTTTGATCCCAGCACCACATAAAAATAAATAAAATTAAGGTATTGTGTCCAACTATAACTATACACACATACACACACACACACAAAGTAAAAGGGAAAAAAAAACATGAGAGTTGGGGGAAGTGTCACCAATATGATTATTTTTCTACCTGACTAGAAGGTAACTGTTTTAATAATGTTCAGGCTATGCTTGCCAGGTAAGGTATAGCGCACCTATAATCACAGCAACTAGGGAGAGGCTGAGAAAGAAAGACTGCAAGTTCAAGACAAGGCTGGGCAACTTGGCAAGACATACCTCAAAGTAAAAATAAATAGGGATAGGGATGTCGCTCAGTGTAGAGTGCCCCTGGGTTCAATACTAAGTATTGGGCGGGGGCGTGTTCCATGCTATGCTCGTCATATAATTCCTTGAAGACAAATTATCTTAGCTGTGAAATTACCACTATAAGGTAGAAGAGTGATACCTGGGGACCTACTTATACACTTCAACTTAAAAAGTTCTTAATATTCACCTCTGTGAAGTCTAGAAACTCTGATATATACTGTCTTCCTTCTCTGCCATTAAGAGACAGATACACGACAAATAGTTCGAAGTGAGTATACACTTGAAAAATTAACTGAGGAGAAACAAAAGTCAAAGAATTTCACAATGTTATTGAAATATTTAGGGTGCCAAAAGATAGGATGTTTGTGCCTTCTTGCCCCAGTACTGGGGATTGAACCCAGGGCATACTTTACTACCAAGCTATATCACCAGTTTAATTTTTTTTTTTTTTTGAGACAGGATCTTGATAAGTTATTTGCTTTGGATGGCCTCTAACTTACAATCCTCCTGCCTCAGCCTCCAGAGTAGTTGGGATTACAGTTGTGAACCTTGGTTTATTGGTCTAGACATTCCAAAATACTGATGAAAAGAGAGGAAAAATATTTCATCCCCATAGCATTTCCCTCCTATAAATACCTCATCAGACTTTAGTCTTCTACACAGTATGAAAATAGTCTGTCCCCTCAAAAAAAAGAAAGAAAAGAAATCAGACTAAAGTTGTCTTCACTACTGCAAAACTAAATAACTTACCTGTACAACCAAAGATCTATCATTGTGGAAATATTATCTCTTTTCCATATATCCTGAAGGAGTTGAAGCTATGATCTAGAATAGAGCTTAAGCATCAGGGTTTCAGACTCTCAGCTTCAGCCATGGAGAATACTAGAAACTCTTAAACTCCTTTCTTTAAAATAAAATAATAAAAAAAGAATTAAAGAAGGAAATTAATTTATGCTAATAGATTTACTCCTATGATGAGAGGACATAGCAGGTAATAATCTCTTTATATGACATCTTTGGGGCTTCTTGGTAACTGAAGCCAGGTTACTAAGAAATTAGATTTTTTAGAAATCAACAAAAACAAACAAACCTTCAAAATACACCAAATCCATACAACTTAGTATTAGTTTGAATCAAAATATGACTTGGTTCTTGTTATAAAGTTCTGCTCTAAGGCGTTTTTTTTTTTTTTTTAAGGTGACCTAAGGATTGTCCTTGATAGGACTTCTCATGTCAGAATTTATAATCTCTTATTACTCTTATTCAAGAGGATTTTGTGTTCCAAATATGAAAAACTTGGGAACTGAGCACAAAAACTATTTAGGTGATACATACCAAAGAATCAACCAAGTCTTCTACACCTACAGAAAAATCTTCATATTTATTAAAGTGCTAGATACTCATTTATTAAAAGAAATTTCTACTATTTTTGACATGTAGATTTTCAACAAGGACAAAAATAATAAGGATTTTCTGGGCTGAGTACCCAGTTAGCCAGATATTTAATTAACCTAAATCATTCCAATTCTTGGAATAGTCTGTTAATTACAGCTTTACTAATGTGTTATGATATCCTTTTCAGAAGATATAATCTGGCTAAATGAGTTATTATGAGTGCCCATCTGCAGACAGAGTACCAGGAAAAAGACCAGCAGATGTTTATGATAGAGTGTCACTTTATGATAAGCATAAAACTACATATTCTAAAAGTGATACTATTTTCAGTGAAGAATTATAATTTAGAGACTGATGCAATTATCAATAATTGTAAAGTAGGGTTACTGCCTAGTAAAATTATATTACTGTTTTAGAATGGAATAGGATTAAATGTTTCTTCTCTTGGAGGTGGCCAGCTCCACCCACCTTGGAGCATTCCTTCCATTTTACTCAATAAATTTTTTATGCTTTTTATTAAAAAAACAGGGGAAAATACAGTTAATATTTATTATATACAGATATAACTTCTTCCAGTTTTGCCTTGTAGAGTCTTGGAAAAGCACAAAAAAGGAAAACTGGCTGAATTTAATAGTTCACTACTATGTTAAAAAATTTTTCTAGCCAGGCACAGTAATACACGCCACTACTCCCAGCAAGGGAGCTGAGGCAAAAAGATTGCAAGAATGAGGCCAGCCTTAGCAATTTAGTGAGACCCTAATTAACTTGGTGAAATTCTCTTTCCAAAAAAAAAAAAAAAAAAAATGGGCTAGGGATACAGCTCAGTGGTCAAGTACTCCTGGGTTCAATTCCCAGTACCAAAAAAAAAAAAAAAAAAAAAACCCACATACACACACACACAAAAAGAAACTTTTTTTTAAATAAAAAGATTTTTTTAAAAATCTTCTAAATTAACATGAGGAGGGAAAGCACAGTGAAAACATGAAGTACTACTAACTTTAAAATTCACTCTTCTTATACCAAAGACTCAAAACGACAACTCCTCTGTACTCGACCCTGAAACCTTTCATAAACATTACATTCTATAGTGTGTGATGGTGGTGGCACCCATCAGAGGCAAAGGTAACCTACAAATTAAAATGTGTTTTTAAGCATACATGGATGTGCCTGTCCTAGCACTCTATCAAGTTCTAGTCAACAATATTACCACCCTTGTTGAAGAGAGTTCACTTCAAGAACATCATCCTGAAGAACATCATACCAGAAGAGTGTAAGTGCAATTGTTATTTTTACTGAAGGACTGATACTTACAGCTGACTTCTACCAATATTAAGACAGATAGGATCCTGAGGGCATATTTCATAAAAGCCTGATACACTGAAAAAGAGACTTCAATTACTTCTAACTCGATCCCACCTGGCCTTAATTAAGATTACATTTTGTTCTTACCTTTTTTTAAAGTGTTTCGCCTAGTATTTGAATCCCAAGCGTCTGTATTTATCTGTCATCACTGTTAATGTCCATGTTACATTGAGACTTCAGGTATGAATTATTTATATGGTTGTACTAGCACAACTTGGTATCTGTGAAGGGAAACCACAATGTCACTATGGCTGTGTTACTGTTTACAGATTTGTGGATAAAAGTGATAATATTTCTAAATACTTACATAGGACATTTCATTTTCTAATAAATTTCATAAATAATTATCTATATTTAGCCATGAAATATGTGATATTTTCAACAGAGTAAGATGATTTGTTAACACATTCTCAAAAATTCTTCTCAGAGTACCCATAAGCAAGTTTTCTAAATTTAATTCTAAATTAAAACTCCTGCAGAGATATCCTCATTGAGTATCTGTGTAGAAATACTTCATTTTCTAAGGCTGTAACAACTCTGACATTAATATAAAGCACTTTTTTTGTTTTATTATGATATTAAGGAAGTAATCTATAATATCTAAGAACTAACTAAATACATGACATCTTTTATTTTTTCAGTACCAGGGACTGAACCCAGGAGTGGCTCTCTACCACTGAGCTACAACTCCTGCCCTGTTCATTTTTTCTTTTGAAACAGGGTCTTGGCTTAGGGCCTTGAACTCATGATCCTCCTTCCTCAGCCTTCTCTGGTCACTAGGATTAAAGGTGAGAATCACCATGCCCAGCTGTATATCTTTTAATGTACTCCTTTCACCTTAGACTATACCTTTTGTAGGACTAATATGTCAAAAGTATTTTAGAAATAAGCAGAAATTAAATGTTATTTAAAATCAATCAAGGAGTTATGGGTGTAGCTCAACTTATATTCAAGACTTTGGGTTCAAAACCCAGCACCCTAATACTAAACAGAAATGTAACTACACAAACATACCTTTAAAATAAACTTCATAAAAACAAATTTGGCTGATCTGAGAAATATATTCACGTGACTACAATGATGAGGAAAAGCCTTATATACTTTCATTTAGGCCCAGCTACTCAGGAACCTAAGGCAGGAAGATGGTTGAGCCCAGAAGCTAGGGAAGAGCCTGGGTAACACAGAATGACTCCATCTCAAAAACAAAACACAATAATAACAAAACCTTAAGTTATTTTARTCAGCTTAAAACTAGAAAAAATGAGTGACTGAAAAATGCTCATTCATATACATCAAAAGAAGCCTTTGAAAGACATTTTAAAATGATTCACCAGGTGTGCTGCTCCAAATTCCTATATGATAAAAACAAAGAGTAAAAACCCATGAGGAAAATGCAGATAGCGTTGTTTGTAGATAATTCTTGACAAAATTGTTTTCAAATGTTAAAAACTAACCTTAACTAACACCATAAAAAATTAACCCAAGCGGGGCAGTGGGTTGCACACCTCTAACCCCAGCAGCTCAGAGGCTGAGGCAGGAGGATCTCCAAGTTCAAAACCAGCCTCAGCAAAAATGAAGCGCTCAGAAGCTCAGTGAGACCCTGCCTCTAAATAAAAAATACAAACTAGGGCTGGGAATGTAGTTCGGTGGTCCACTGCCCCTGAGTTTAATCCCAGGTATCAAATAAACAAACAAACAAACAACCCAAATCTAAGTAATCATAAATTTAACAATTTTAAAAAATTTTTATGCTATGAGAGCCAAAACTCATAGCACCTACATTACACTCTTTGTTTCATACACTATGAATTTCAAACTTAAGCTTTCCACAAAAATACTATGTGTTTTCTGGGACAGATAAACTATTTTATGTTATGACAAATTATAACAATTTTTCATTTGCATTATTTAAGCATAGTAACTTTGTTCCAGAAATTTAAAAAATCTAGCTATTTTATCTTTTTAAAATCTACAAAACAAAATGAACTACTTATGTCCTCTTCCTAAAGCCTTCTTATTTTATTTATTCCTTGCTACAGACAGAGCTTTGCTTGTTTTCACTAACAAAATTCACTGACTATTCAACCATTCAACAGATCTAAAAACCAATCTTCACTAAAAAGAATTACTTTTCCTACTACTTTCAGTCTAACACTGGTACTACTGTGCTAACTAGATTACAGGATCTCAGATTCATGGCACACATGGATCACTTCAAAAGTGTACAGAAAATCTCACTAGAAAATATCAGTTCTGGTCATATAGCAAAGTTATGAACCACACCACATACTATAAAACTATAAAGTCCAAGCTAAAGGTAACCTAAATTATGAGATACTACAAAAATTTTGTAGTATTTTCTTATGAGATTGGGGTGGAGGGAAGAAAGGTTGTACTATAGACTCATATTTAGTGTCTAATTCTGGTTGTTATAGATGAAAATACACTAAATATGTATACTATGCTATTGCCTTAACAGGTTTTTTTTTCTTTCTTTCTTTCTTTTTTTTTTTTTTAATGTGCTGGGGATTGAATCCATGGCTTTACACATTACTAGGCAAGTGACTACCAATGAACTAGTCCCCAGTCCCCTACCTATGATTTTAAAAGAAATTGAGAGATATTTAAACCAGGTAAGGTAGTGCAATCCTGTAATCCTACCTACTCAGGAGGCTGAATCAGGAGAATCAAAAGTTCAATACCAGCCTGGAAAATTTTTAGCTAGACCTATCTCAAAATAAAATTTTAAAAGGGCAGGGGGTGTAGCTAAGTGGTACAGTACTTGCCTCGCCTAGTCTATGTAAGGCCCTAGGTTCAAGGCCCAGAACTTCAAAGAAAATCCAGTCAACTGTAAAAAGCATCAAGATCATGTTAAAACAGAAACACCTTTCCTAGACAACATTTCACAGTTACTTGCTATAAAAAGTTGAACCAAAGTTTTATTAAGTACAAATTATGATCACAGAGCCCACTGTCCTGGGCCCCTGAATTGTTTAGAATCACAGGTTCTGTTTTGGATGATGTCTACAGATTTTTAGAAATAAGTCTATTTCTGGTCAACAGAAAGTAGAAAGTATCAGGATATGGTGGGAGGAGATGGAAATGTGATTCTGTCATCAATGAACAAGCCACTTTGCCTATCTTTGTTTTTTTTTTTTTTCCCATCAGCAAAATGGCAGACAATATCTGCCTACAACCTCACTGGGTTGTTGTGAAGTTCAGAAAAAAAGAGCAAGTCTGTGAGATACTTTTGTATGTTTGTTATCAAACTTTAGTAGGCTAAGAAATTCCTGAAGCCAACACCCTCAAATATCGAGATTCAGCAGGTCTGGACATGAACACATAAATTTTCATTTTAATGAGGTACTTCAAGTCATTCCAAGGTAGAATGAAGATCATACTTTACATCAGATTCTCCTAAAACCTTAGTGTTCCTTAACCTAGTTATGTATTTAAAATGCATATTTCTAAACTTCATTCTTAAAACTCCAGATCAGAAAATAGAGCACAAAAATCTTCATTTTATCAAATGCTATAAGTGATTCAGATGTATGTGAGACATGATCCATCTTTTTAGAAAATCTGCACTATATTCTTCCTCCAAAATATTTCTCAAATTGTTCTCCACCTCTGTAATATCATCACCTGTGACCATCCTGCATCATCTTGTATTTTAACTAGCCCAAATGCCCTCTAATTATTTCCTCTGCTTTGTCCCTTAAAATGCAGTCTACAGAGTGGCCAGGATGCATACCTAATTATCTCACCTTCCTGTCTAAAAACTTTTCCAAGGGACTTCCACTTCTGGCCAACAGAGTAATGGGCAAGATTTTCATGCTCCCACCTGAAACAACTAAAAATCTGTGCAAAGTGTATGAAAATGTTTTCACACACTGGAAAATAGACAATACAATAGAAATTAGACAAGACAATGATAGAGAAAAAAAGTAAATGAGGTAACACCGAGAAATGCCTTAGCTTACTACTTGGGCAGTTTCCATGCTGCAGATAGAGAGGGTTAGCAGTTTCCCTGAGTTAAGAAGATAAAGTGAGGAGTTTGGGGAGGCCATAGTAGCTAGAGTCCCCAGAACAGTGCAAGAGAGGAGAAAGCTATGGAAACACTGAACAAGATCTTAGAAGAAGAAAGGAAAAAAAAAAAAAAATCTTAGAAGATCTACAAAGGTTACCATTAAACCTTGAGCTGAATATGGATCCATATCCAAGAAAAACCTATCCATAAGCAAAACTACACTGAAAAAATGTGTAACAACTGAAGAGTTGCCAGCCCAGTGGTATATACCTGTAGTTCAGCTACTTGAAAGACCAAGGTAGGAGGATTTCAAGTTTGAGGTTAGCCTGGGCAACTAAGTAACTCCCTGTCTCACAATAAAAAATAAAAAGGAGGGCTGGGGTTGTGGCTTAATGATAGAGTGCTTGCCCAACACGCACGTGTTCGAACCTCGGCACCACATAAAAATAAATAAATAAAGTCATTATTTTAATAAATAAATTAATAGATAAGTTAGGAAAATTGGTGTATGCTTGTAATCCCTGTGGCTCCAGAGGCTGAAGCAAGAAGATTACAAGTTCAAAGCCAGCCTCAGCAATTTATCAAGGCCCTAAGCAACATAGCAAGAACACCTGTCTCAAAGTTTAAAAAAAAAAAAAAAGAGGTTGGGATGGGATGTAGTTATAAAGTTCACTCAATCCCCAGTACAAAAAAAAAAAAGAATATGTTCTAAAAACTGTTTAAAGCATTTTAGCTATTTGGAAATAACTGGGAAGAATAATAATCAGTGAATTTAAAAGGATTTAAATAATATAAATGATGACAACAATTGATTTCAATTAGAAAATAATAATAAAAATGTCTCCAAAATCTCTAAGCTTGGCATGGTGGTGAATGTCTGTAATTCCAGGAATCAGGAGGCTAAGGGAAAACCATTCCAAATTCCAGACCAGCCTCAGCAATTTAGGGCGATCCTGTCTCAAAAAAAAAAAAAAAAGGAGGCTGGAGATGTAGCTCAGTGGTAGATTGGCCCTAAATTCAATCCTTAGTAACACACATACAATATCTCCAAATACTTGGAAATATATAATATGCTTTGTTAACATAATCTATAATTTAGGGGGGAAAAAAAGGTGCTGAGTGTGGTGACACACACCTTTATCCCAGAAACTCAGGAGGCTGAGGCAGGATTACAAATTCAGGATTACAGGG